GGTCACCTGACGGTGGTGGCCTGACCCCTGTGGTGGAGGAGAGGCAGGAATGGAGCTGCAAGAGTGGGTCCAGGAGGTGTCCTCACCTGTGGGGAGGCTGAGAGCTCATTGTAGGCGCAGGGCACACCTGACTGACAGGACACATCTAGATGTGTATAAGAGACAGGTGCGCCCTCCGGCCTCTCGCCTCGTCCGGTTCCCGCGCGCCTACCCCGCACACCTACCCCGCACAACTGCCCCACGTGACCAGCCCGCCACACCTGCCCCTCACACCTGCTCCACGTGACCAGCCCGCCCCACCTGCCCCACATGACCACACTGCCCCACCAGCCCGTCCCACCTGCCCCACATACCTGCTGCAGGTGACCAGCCTGCCCCACCTGCCACAGACACCTGCCCCACACACCTCTTCCACTCAGCCTGCCCCACCCGCCCCTCACACCTGCCCCACGTGATCAGCCTGCCCTACCTGCCCCGCACACCTGACCCACATACCTGCCCCAGGTTACCAGCCAGCCCCACCTGCCCCGCACACCTGCCCCACACACCTGCCCCTGGTGACCCACCCAGCCTCACCTGGCCTGCCCTGCACACACCTGCCCTCACCTCCCCTTTTCTTTGTGGCAGCCCTGCCTCCTACTGGTCCCCCTGTGCAGCCCTGCCCCTGCCCTGCCTTCATCTATCCTGTCTCCCCCCACGCACCTGTCCTGGAGAAGCCCGGGGGTGGATGGGCACCTGTGGTCACCAGGAACCCCCACGTCCTGAGGGCCAGTTCAGGTATGACCTGAGCACTGAGGAGCCAGGGGTGGGCGGCCTGCTGGAGGCCATGATACCAGAGGTCAGCATGGCTGTGTGGTGGCCCAGGGGGCCCGCGGAGTTACCTGTGCAGGCTCCTCTCCCAGTCCTCCCTCTTTCTCTTGCCTTTTTCCCTAAGGACCTGCTCCTTCTGCCTCCTTCTTGTCGGGCTCCCTGTGGGGAGGCCGCCGTGGCTTGCCAGCCCATATTTTTCTGTAAGCTGCTCATAGTTTCTTGCCACACAGAGCAGCCTCCTTCTCAGGCTCCAAAACACTGGGAGCCCGGGGCAGAACTCACAGATGCCCTACAGGGCTGTTGCCATCCAGCACCTCCTGTGTCCTGCCCTTGTGTCAGTGGGGCATAGACTTCCCCGCCCACCAGCTTCCCAACGCACTGCGCTCTTCCCCATTGGAGCTCCCGAGTGTCCCCCAGGGACTCGCAGCTCAGTGTTCAGACCCTTGGAGGAGCCCCTTGTTGCGTTGTGAGGCACTTTTCCCCTAAGGAGCTTTGCGCGTTTAGGAACTGGACCCCAGTCCTGGTGTGCCGGGTATGTCAGGGTGTTGCATGTGCTCTGGGTGCTGCTTTGGCCTGGGGGCTGTCCCAGCAGCGTCTGGGCTGCCCTTAGTCCACTGAATGGCCCTCAAAGGCAAGGGGGTCACTGCTGCTT